AGTTTTGTTTTTTGGACATCACTTTTGTGAATACTTAGGGCTATATCCCATGACAATATGACAACTCCAGCATCCGGACATGGTGCCTGTTGGTGAAAGTTAGTGGTTCTGGAACTTATATATCACAGCTCTGTAAAAGGAGGAAAATTGAGTCTGATGAACAATCGATTCCATGGTTCCATTGCTGGTGTGACAACTTTGGTCAGTATATAATTATATCACAGTGATAACAAAGAAATGAGGAATAGAAGGTAAATATGAATAAGAGAACAGGGTAGCCTATAATTCTAAAAAGTTATGTATAAGATATGGTAATAGAGAACTGAATCTTTTTTAGTATGTTTGTTTATAAACCTAACGGAACTTATACACTGAAGTGATCATTTTTTCTCCTGAAGTAACTAAATTTAGGGACGAGCCACTTACTCCACTTAGTCTGAAATCATTTGTCCCATGTCTAGGGATCTCTTTTGTAATTGATTTTGGAACTCATGATACACAGTTTGTGAAAACCTTAATGTGGTAGATAGCTAAACTCTGAAATTGGGTGGGAATTGGATATCTTGCAACACACCCTGCCTTAAAATGCCTAGAACTGAAGATCTAAATGAAACAAACATGTTTAGGAAAGGTTGAATCACACAGATATGCTGTATTTCTAAGTATGTTTTGGTTTCATACAGAAATTGCATGTGGTTCAGCCAAACTATAAAACTGAACTCATAAAAAAGGAGGGGACATCTTCAAGGGCCAAATGCCAAAAGCAAGCTGAAATCCAGAATGCTTGGTTGTTCTGAAGGAATTACACTCACTAATCATGGAGACTTACTGTCAACTTGGTGAAGGGAAGAGAACTGAGTGAGATGAAGAACTAGAATTTCCTCCCCATCATTAAGACAGGAGCTTATAAGGATTACATACTCGATTACAAGATGATAGGGAAAAAATTGTAAAGGGAAAATCACAACCAAATTTTTTTGTGTCAGTCTGGGCTCAGGCAAACAAAAAAGACAAGCTTTAACCAAAACCTACCCTGAAGTGGGTTTGAGATTTGAATTTACACTATCTTCTGAAATTTTATACTGAAAAATGAAAATGAAATGAGTTTGCATCACTCTGCTTCTAGAAATAGTGGAGTGGCTTTTATTGGGGCAACTCGTTTGCAGATAACAATGATAAACTCTGGGCAAAATGTAAATATTAATCGTCTAAATGTACTGGAGAATGACCAAGAGCAGCTAGAAAATGTTGCAGAGTCGATATTTATAAAAAGAAAGAAAATGACATTGAGTGTTTTTCTAGGTTTTGTGGACTTTTTATCTAAGGGTAACCCCTTGTCTGTTTGCTGTGGAGCAGCTACAACTCAGAAAGGAAACCCTGCAGGTTTACTGGATGAAGAATCAAAGCATAGAATGTAAAGTCACACAGGACCTGGAGAAGGAGAGGAGAATCCAGGAATCCAGGACATGAGAGAGTGAGAGCAGGGGACCCCCAGTGCTGCATGTAAACTCTGCCAAATGTCTGGATGACCATCAGATTACACATGTGCCTATTAAGCTCAGCTAAGAATAAAATCACTGAATAGAGATTTCAGCATCTGCTGACCATCAGGGAGACAAAGGAACTGCTGCTAACACTAAACACTAATGACAACAACAACAAAAATACTCTTCAGGGACCATAACAGAATTTGGAGTCTTTAAACATATTCAAAATATCCAGGCTACAATTAAGAATTTCTAGACATACAAAAAAACAGGATACTCTAAACCATAGGTGGAGAGAAAATATAATTCACAGAAATGGACTCAAAGACATTCCAGATATTGTAATTATGTAGGAAGGATTTTAAAGCTGTTGTTATAACTATGCTCAAGACTGTAAAGGAAAATATGCTCATAATGAACTAACAGATAGGAATTCTCAGCACAAAAATAGAAACTATAGCATAAAATCAAATGGAAATTCTAGAGTCCAAAAATAAAATATTGGAGTTAGAACATTCACTGGATTGATTTAAGATAAAATTTAAGATGCAGATGAATCAGTGAACTTCTAGATAGAATGTTAGATATTACCTCATCTGAAAAATAGGAGAAAAATGGCTAAAAAGAACAGAGCTCCAGTGACCTGTGGGATAATGTAAGAATGTAATTGGAGTTTCAGAAGAGGAGGAGGAGAGAGAATGGAGCAGAAAAATATTTGAAGAACTAATAACCAAAAAGTTCTCAGATTTGGTGAAAGTAATAAATGTATACTTTCAAGAAGCTCAGATATTCCCAAAAATTTTTAATTTATGGAAAATCATGCCTAGGCACATTACAATCAAACTTTTAAAAATCCAACTTGAAGAGAAAATACTGAAAGCAGAGAAAAATCATACATTACATACAGAGGACCAATACCATGATAGCAAGTTCTCATCAGAAACAGTGGGGGCTGGAAGACAATAGATGTTTAAACATGAATGGGATGTTTACAAAAACCGATTATGTCTTATGCCATAAAACTCCAGCTACATAGGAAATTACTGTTATGATGAAGAAGAGGTTCTCTGCCCATAATATAGCCAAATTAGTAATTAAAAATTGGGAAAAAATCCTCATATTTTTAAGAATTTGAAAGAAAAACTACTTTTAAATAACCCATGGATCTAAGAAAGCTCCATGGAAAATTTTAAAGATGTATTTAGAATTGAGGGACAATGACCTCAATGTCATAACTTGTAGAACACAATGAAAGGGGTACTTTGAGGAAAAATAGGGTGACACAAATGTAGAAGGAAAGGCAACTGTCAAGCTGTAAACAGAAATTACTGAAATGGAATGTGGATATACCAAAGAAGATCAAATTAAGAGATTGGAAAATGATCATTCTCTAGAGAAATGTACTTTTTAAAAAGTAGTTAGACACAAATAAGTACTAGAAATGATAAAGGAAAGGGACCAAGCTGGTGACAAAGAGACTCCTGAACTTCTGTCTTCCCAGGGACACGCCCAGTGTGCAGCTGTTCCCACTAAGAGAAATCCAGAACTATCCGAGTGACTTCTATACATTGGGTGAATGAGGAAATCAAACTGGGGGGGAGGCTGACACACTCTCCCCATGAACTCTGCCCCTGGCAGAGCACCATGCAATTGGGAGAGAACCCCACATTCCTTCTTCTCCGTAAGGCATGAAAGGTTGAGACCACGTCCAGCACCCAACTTTCAAGATGCCCTAAAATATACCTGAAATACATCATAATCAATGAGTGTTTCAAAATAGTTAAATGTCGTCTGAGGCTAAGTCTGATGAATAGATAGCCAAGGGGATGACTTTTTCTTCTTCTTCTTCTTCTTCTTTTTTTTTTAACAACATGATGACTTCTTAGTTTAAGGAAAAATGCTGCAATGAAAACTTCTGTGTGTTATCAGAAGACATCATCATAATCATGAAAAGGGAAGCCAAGACTGGGAGAAATTTGTATCACATGTAATTGACAAGTCCTTGGTATCCACATAATATGAAGATTTCCAACAAGTAAATAAAAACAGACTACTCAATAGAAAAATGAGTGAATACGTGAAAGAAAACATGAATAACCAGTAAATGTATGGAAGATGTCCAACTTCAAAAGTTATTAGGGAAATGTGACCTAAAGCCAAAGTGAGACATTTCAGGATGCTGTATCTGAAAGCGGTGTATCAGGATGTTAACATTTTTTAAAGGCTGGAAAAATAAATTTTCATTTATTGCTATTGTGAGTGTGATATTATACAAGTGTTTTAAAGAACAATATCTGATAAAGTGACTACCCACAATTATACTAGTAGGTAGTTCTTTAATCTCAAAGTATAAATAAGTGTGTATAAAGAACCACATGCAAGGATGATAGCTGTTACAGTTTTTAATAGTGAAAATAAGGGAACCCTAAATATCCACACATAGAAGAAACTATTTTGTTGTGGAATACGCATACTGTGGGATGTAATGTAGAGGCGAAATGACTGAATAAATAGCTATGGAAGAAAATAAAGAGGGCGGGAGGAAACTTTCTGAGATGAACAGATATGCTTATGGCACAGATTGTGGAGGTCGTTTTATGGATATGTACTTATTTCCAAGCTCATGAATTGTATACATTAAATAAGTACAGGTATTTGTACATCAATCATTCCTTGATAAAGTGGTTTAAAACAAACTACAAAAACCAAGTATAGTAAGTTCCAGAATCATACATTATACTTGCATGAAATTAGAAGAACTGTAGAAAATAAATTTACATATTGTTTAGTGATATATATATATATAAAATTAAAGATATGGTAATAAACATAAAATTAATCAGAAGGGTTACTTGTCATGTGGAGGGAGAAAAAAGAAGCAAAGGAGGAATAGATATTGGCTTCTATTATTTTGTAATCCTTCTTATTCTCAATAGATTTCAAGGGTGTTATTTTGTTTTCTCCATTTATATACCTGAAATACATCATAATCAATGAGTGTTTCAAAATAGTTAAATGTCGTCTGAGGCTAAGTCTGATGAATAGATAGCCAAGACTTTTTGTATATAAATTATTAAAAGTGAAGCAAGACTTTTTCTTGTGTGTGCATGTTTCTTGTAAACTGATCCTGAAGTATTTCCTCAAAGAGTTTTGTACTGTTTTGAGAAATGGCTATATCATTGTTATTTCTGTGTGTCGCTTCCCAAAGTGACTTCTTTGAAGGGCACAAGGCTCCTCTGGATATGTATGTCCAAGTTCGAGTTTTTGATGTTCAAAAGCTCAATCTCCTTTCTTTATTCCAATACCTTATATTGGAGATACTAATTCCATAGCAGAAACTCGACAAATGTAGAAAATGCCTCCATGTCAGAGACCAGCTCATCAAATCTTTCAAAGACTTTTTTTTTCCCTTCGAAATATTGAGATAGACAGGGCTTCCCTTGAAGAGACTTTTCTAGTACATTTATATTTGACTAACAGCTTTACATGAGAGCTATTTCATTTACCACTTAGGCACTTGATGGACCCGCCAAGACTGAATGTTTCTCCAGGGACAGCACATTAGACCCACCGCTTGAGGTAATGACTTGAGATCACCCCTGCTTTGGAAATGTAATGCCAAAACTCATTGCTAACTCAGTACCTGGTTTCAATTCTTCCAGTTGTGTTTCCCTGCACAGCTCAGGCAGCAAACTGAAGAGCTCTGTGCTACCATTGATAAGGTCTTACAGGATTCCTTGTCTATGGTAATGCCTTAGACTAGAACATGCAATTCAAACATTTGCTTCGCTTCTCTTCATTTCCCTCTGCCTGAGTATGGTGTATCACAGACTTGTCCTTTTTTTTTCCCTCCCCAGCATTCTTCTGATTCTCCTTCAAGTTCCCCACAGACACTGTTGGGTTCTGACACAGTCAAAGTATGTATATATTTAATATAATTTACTGAATCTTAAGAGTTACTCAATCGATGATTTTTAAACTCCAGGTCAAGGCTCAATAGTGAATTAGGAAATTAATTCAGTGATAGCAACCAGCAATATTTTTTTGTTACAAACAACATTTTAAAAATAGAATAGTAAGAATGTAAAGTGTTAGGCTCTATTCCAGTTAGGGAGTAAGTATTGCTGACATTTGTGTTCCAGTGTTTGCATGTACATAAACAGGTATGCGTGGACAGGGCTGCAAATAAAATCTATTTCTGTGGGTCAAGTTCAAAACAGTTTGAAAGCCAGTGTATTAGATTATGTTGTTATATGTGGGCATTTTAAGAAGCTATATGGTATTGCATGTAGACTTTATGGCTTAGTCTCATCTCAACACATAGCTTCAGTAGTTAGGTAATTCACAGCCACTTTGAATTGCAGAAGTGGAAAATGAAGTGAACTGAAGTAGCATTAGTCTAAGAGCTTTAGTATAAGTATTAGTTCTGGAAGGTTTTTTTGTTTTTGTTTGGATTGTTTTTCATTGTTCTGTGACTTAGACAGAAACCTGGATATTTTAGATGTTAGGGTACTAATGAAGTATTTATTATTGGCTATATTTAAATATATCCTTCTGATAACATAGCCACTTTCATTTGTTGGGATAAAATACTACATTTCTCCAAATCATTTTTTCTGATGCTTAAGACAGATTTACTCATCAAAATGTCAAAATGTTGTGATTTTTCCTTTATCTATAACTGTTAGGTATTTTTGTTAGCCTATTTTCTCAGAATCAGTAGGAATACTTTTTGCATGTCCTTTTAAAAAATTGGACATTGTGTGTATGAAGTAGGTTTTAAAATGTGCAGAATCACTTATAACTAGATGAGTAATCCTAATTTTCAGTTGGAGCATTATAGTTTTGTCCATTAAAAATGACACTGGAACCCAGTGACCAGTAAGTGTCAATATTAAGAAATATTTTAGAGAGGACATGCAAATGGATAATTGTAGTTTCTATATTTGTTATCTATTTGCATATTCTTTAAGTCTTTTAATTTAAAAATATAAAACTGTTTGATTTGCCAGATACTGTATATATTTTTTAATGTTTTTTTCTTATTTAAATTTTTTGGCATATAAAAATACCATATATTACATTAGATATAATAGGAATAGGACTTAAGTAGTAATATGTGAATAATAATCTATGTTATTGATTTGTTTAACAAATATTTCATGCTAATAGTGCTAAAAAATATTATTCTAGGTCACGAAATTTAAGGTAATTATTTCATTCAACAACTATGTATTTAGTGCCTACTGTGGGCGGGGTCTGTGAGGCAGCAGGGGGATAACTGTGAGCAGACCGAGCAACCTAATGGGCACATCTTGGATGAAGTGACCAGAGAGTAGAATTCAAATGAAGACCAAAGATGGAAAGGCTCAGACTCCAGGAAGATCAGCAGAATAGCTTTCAGACAGAGGAGCAGGCAAATGCGGCTTTGTCTGTAGGAAGACGAGGGTCAGTGTGGTTGCAGTCTGATGAGGCAGGGGTGGAGGGTACAAAGCAAGGTCGAGAAGGTGCACGAAGAGCAATGATTTAGATACTTCTCTGCCATGGCATGAAGCTTGGATTCCAAGGAAAATGGGACGATATCAGAGGGGGGTTGTGATAACAGGAAACTGTCGAAAAGATCGTGATGGTTGAAAAGATCGGGAGGCGGGAGTGCATGCTGTGTCAGAGGGGCCTTCAGGGACGGTGGCCTGTACAGGATGGTTTCAGAGTTGCTCGCCAGAAGCAGGTGAGTTTGAACGAGATTTCAGGCTTGCTGTGGGTATGGATGTAAGTAGTACGGGAGAGAAGAGTCCTGGATGAGCTCCAGATCTCTGCCTTGAGCACAGACAACCGCGAAGGAGGTGCAGTGTGGTGGAGGGAAGAGGGTAATGTTAGCTTTGGACAAAGTATGTGAGTTCTGAATCTGGGGGGCCTTAAGCCTGTTTGTCTGGAGCTAGTAGGAGAGATGTGGGGATGAGCAGCACACTGATGTCATCAGCACCCTGTGCAGAGCTCCAAGGGACAAAACACTGCTGGTCTAACAAAGGAGGTACAAGGGGAGCCGGCAGAGCAGGACGGAAAGCCCACTGAGTGGGGCAACTGTGAGAGCCGTGTAGCAGCATGGAGGCTCCAAGAAGAGAGAACTCAGGAGAATGCAGTCATGGTGATTGCTGTCAGGAAGAGGAGAAAGAGAAGGTTAGACTATTTATTAGGTTTATTAGGTGTTTTTTATGTTTTGTTTGTTCAATTTTCAAACTATATTGCTGTTGCTTATATACTGGTATTCATTCTAATATTTTTGATTTTTAAAGCCTTTATTAGCCTATATAGTCTTTTGAACCTAAGGTGGTTCTTCTTAGTCCAGTATGAAAATAGTGACCTTAAATAAGTAATATTTATATATAATTCTTAATTCATGTTTTCCTCAGTTTATCTTATATTACCTTTTTCTTTGAACTAATTTTCTATTACTTTCTAATTATTCTTATTACTTTAAAAAATATTTTTGTACCCTTTTGCCTAATTATCTTCAGAACAACATATCTCTGGACATAACTCTTATATTCAAGCAGGGATTCTGTTTATCTGGGGCCTTAAGCCATTTACATTTACTGTAATTCTTGTATTAGGACTGATTTCTGCTATCTTATTTTATATTTTATATTGAAAATGTTTTCTTTTTGGGCTTTCCTGCTTTCCTTTCAGTATTTTTACATATACTGGTTTGAAATTTTTGAGAAGTTTGTAAATTTTACTTTTTTTTGTTACTACTATGGTTACACATAAATTATTAGACAAAATAATTATTTTTATTTTCTATCAATTTTAAAGCTTACAAATACCTTTGTCTAAATTAGGTAAAGATATAGCACTTTATAGCTTTCACTTGTTTTTAATTAATATAGACTTACATATACATAGATATAATTCTTTTACTTTCATATCTGAATATTTATGGTTATATTTTTATTGATCTCTTTTTCACTTAGATATTTGTTCTTTATTTAGATCTTTATTTCTTGTACATTCGTAACTTTCTCCTGGATTTATTTTTCTTCTTGTTGGTATCTTACTGAATCAACTGGTATCAACAAGTTCTTTGTGTATTGATTCTATGGCCTGTGTCCCTGAGACTATCTCTATTTTTCCCTTTCATCCAAATTATAGTTTTGCTGGACATAAAATTATACGTCCTCTCTCTTTAACAAATTTTTCCTCTATGCTTTTTTACTTCAACAATATATTTATGAAGTATTTTGTCTGCATGCTATTTACTCGTCTTCTACACTGATCGTTTATGAAGTGGCTCTGTAACCGTTTAGAATTTTATCTCTATCTATGGTGTTACTGCTTTTTACTATAATGTGTCAAGTTGTGCATTTTTTTCACGTACATGTCTGGATTGGTACTCTCTGTGACCTTTCATCTGAAGTCTTCAAACTATTTTCCCTTTACATTTAAGATAACTTTTCAGTCATTTTTTCAAACATTTCTTTTCTCCCAGGATTCTTGTAATAGTGATTTTATCACTTTGGCTTCTATATTCCATGTCTTTTGATCTTTATGTCTTTTTTCTATTTATTGCTGCCTATTTCCTTAGAGAGAGCTCCTTAATCTAATATTTCAGTTCAAGACTTTTAGTATCTATTCTCTTCAATATCTATGTTAAGTTCTTTATTGTAGTTTACATAGTTCTTTTTTTTTTGAAAGTCAGATTATTGAAGTATCTGATCATTTTAGTGTATATTTTTTTGGGTTTTGACAAAGCATACATTTGTATCGCCACCACCACACCCAAGATACAAAATTCTTCCCCCAAGTGAAAAAGTTTTCTTGCTCCTTTGTAGCACAGCCTTCCCTCCAACCCCACTGTTGGGCAACTCCTGATATTTTCTCTGTCTCTATACATTTGCCTTTTCAAGAATGTCAAGAATAGGACCATCCAGGGTACAGTCTTTTGAGTCTGACTTTTGTACTTAGTATAGGCTTTTGTGATTTATCCATATTTTTGTATATATATTCAATGGTTCATTTCTTTTTAGTGCTGAGTAGGATTCCATTGTATGGCTGTACCAGATGTCAGCCACTCACCAGTTGGTGGCCAGTTGGGTTATTTCTAATTTGGGACTATTACTAATAGAGCTGCTAAGAATATTTGTAAATAAGACTTTGTATGGACATATGCTTTCATTTCTTTTATGTAGAAATCTAAGAAAGGAATAGCTGAAACAGTGTTTTCTTTTACAGTATTTGCCTTTTCAGATTTCTTATTATTTTTCCATGGAATCTCAAAATTCTCTGGGCCTATCAATGAACTTGGCTGTATGTACGAGGCATGCATGGAGTGGCAGACACCAAAACCTAGTTCCTAGGATTTTCCAATTCTGGTTAGTTTTGTCATTTTTGTTTGTTTTTTAAGAGTAAGAGGAGCATGTGCCTCGGAATGTAGAAACTCCATAATATCAACCATTTCCCAATTGCTGCTTCCTCCCTACCCGAGGGACAGAGTCCCTCACCTTTCCCTCCCTACACCTCTGCTTGCGACAGTCCATATTCCTCTTTTCCAATAGGTATCTCAGTTGTCATCACTGAGGAAGGGACTGAGAGCTGGCCAGTTGTCCAAACCTAGACTTAACTGTTCCCTTCTCCCCAGCCGGGCTGAAGGAACACCTTCATATCACCCTCACAGGTACTTCTTTTACCATCTTTGGGTTTACTTCCTTGCATGACCCCTTTGCTCTCACCTCTGATGTTGAAAGTGTTGTGAGGTGAGAAAGTAGAGACAGACTATATAAAACAAACAAACACAGCTACTTTGAAATGTGCTGTAGAGAAGGAAATGGGGTCAGTAGTGGGGTCAAGGAAGACTTTTTGTCTGTTTTATAAAGATGAAAATGACAGGGGCAAATTGGTATGCTAGTGGGGATTCAGTAGA